ATTTATCACTGCATAGAACACATTTCCACTGCTCCAGAGTCCAGCAGCAGTACGCTTTACATCCGTACTCCGTTTCATGAAGCTCCTGATACACAGTTCATGTGCTGTTGTTGCGTCCAGAGGCAGTCTGGAACTCTATAGTGAGTGATGCATCAGAGGATAGGCGATTTTTTACGTGCTACATGATTCAGCACTTGGCAGCCCCACTCTGTGAGTTTGAGCGGTCTACCACTTCGCGGCTGAGCTGCTGTTGCTCCTAGGCACTTATTTTCACAATCGCAGCACAGTACAGTTGACCAGGCCAGATCTAGCAGGGCTGAAATTTCATGAACCGACTTGTGGCAAAGGTGGCATCTTGTGACAGTGCCACGTTTAAAGTCGCTGAGCGCTTCAGTACAACCCACTCTAGTGCACAAGGTATGGAGATTCCCAGAATTTTTTAGACAGTCAAAAGTGTCTATTATAATATCAAACAAGCCACTACATATTCGTGCGTTATTAGGTGAATTCTAATAAAAACTGATCAACTATCTTAACGGACAGAATAAGTAGATGAACCCAATAAAAGAAGTTCACCCATTACCATGCAGGTAGGAAGAAAGACATTTGCACAATCCACTGATGATAGACATAGCCTCCCCAAAGAACAGCCTGGTAATCACATTTCTGATACGCTGATATAGAGTAGATGAGTCACACTAGATCCAATCCGCACCCTTGGATGGCAGCCGTATCCCATTTCTCATCACAAGTCTTTCCTTCAGCCTACGTCTGTCTCTGTGACCCATAATTATTATCACAAAAAGGAATCAAATTCACAGGCGTTCACGCAAAAAAAACTACTGCATTACACTTCCCAGACGCTGCACAAAGATTTATAGCCATCCCTGAAAGTGTTTTCAGAGTACTTTCCAAAAGACCCCACTAACAATCCATTACGGCAAGCTGAGTCCATGAGGAATGGGAGTGTGTGAGTGAATCTTGATGAAGTACGGTCCAGGCTTCCTTCTTTCTCAGGCATACCCAACCTTTCTTCAGACTACACCATTACGTCATTTACATCTCACTGTCCACAAGCATGAAGGCCTAACTGGCAAAGAGTAGGGCTGCCCAATATGGACAAACTATCATATTGTGATTATATTAGTTATTAAATTAATTAGTTAATTATATACCTTGCAATGTATTAAAAGACCTGTGAGGTATGATTAAATATTGGCCTACCTAATTTTATACAAAATTTAGATCTGTTCAAACTCGTGAATGACTTGAAACTCATCGGGATCATCTGTGACCGCTCAGGACGCTCAGAACTGCAAAGTGGAGAATGATGTGTACAGGTTGAACTGAATGAAACTGAATACTTGTAGCAATTATCTGTTTATAATTTAATCATTTCCTGCGATAACCAAATATGCAGCTGTTTTAAATGACAGTTTCTAGCTAGCTGACACAGCAGTGAAGCTGTGAGTGTTAGCTTCACGTTCGGAACAAAACAGGGCGATGATCAGGACCGATTTGCGCAAGTTTATACTTAAATCTGGGTGTGAAGTCTTTACTAAGTCCTTAGTTAACACTAGTTTGTTTCAAACTATCCTTTTACTAAACTTGGTTGCACTACAAATGCATTTCTTAAGTCATGTCTTAACTAGTAAAAACTGACTAATGTGTATGTTGTTTTAACATGACGATAACATGCTCAGAACCAGTCCTGCCATGGAAACGCAATGGCAGCCTGCACTGACTTTTTCAATGGAAAAATATCCAGCATAGAAGAGAATGATGTGTACAACTTAAAGAATAAAAGTAATTACCTATAGCCATTGCCTGCTTATTCTTTAGTATTTCCCTGAGACAACGAAACATGCAGCCTTTTAAATGACAGTTTCTCAATACTCAACACAACAGCAGCCTTCATTTAGACACTTAGGCAGCTGCTGAGTCTCACTGAGCTGGAGCTGTGGGTGTTAAGCTTCATGCTCGGAGTTAAGACCAGGGTGACGATTAGAGCTGTAAGTAAAATCACAGCATATAGCGTTTAGACTTTTTAGCGTAGGTAACCAAAAAAGTAATGTTTTTGGTCTTTTATGTGTTTTTTATGTAGTTACTGATGGTTTCCCTAACACTTACTCCTGCTTAGGGGGATGTGTAAATATTAGATAACTACTAAGCTCCGTGTTGAAACGAATTTGTGTGGTGCTACTTGTTCTTATTTATTACTGCATAATGCATGAACTTAGTAAACACTTGCATTACAACTACACTATGTTTGAACTTACGCACAACTGGTGCAACCGACCACAGTGCAGTAACTAAAATCACATGATTTAGTAATATGTAAATCTGAACTTCGTAAACACTTGTGCTACAACTAAGCTATGTTACATTTGAATATACATACAACTGGTGCAACCGGCCCTTAGAACATTTAAGCAAATTACTGAGTAAGACGGCAGATAAAGAGAGTAAGATGGAGAGAGAAATCTCCCTCTCATGATTGTACGTAGCACAGGAGGGCAGAGATGAATGTGTGCGGCCCCTGACTCATGGGTGGCTGTCTGAATGCCAAGCAGAGGCTGGCTGGCTGGCTGGCTGCTGGTCTGCTGGTGCAGGGGATCATACTGAATCAGTGGGCACTGTAAACACAATCAATCAACACAGGGAGGGGGGAACAGTCTGCCCCGCAACACACCACATACCACGCACCGCTGCCTCACTGCATATTCAACAATACACTCTCTCGCACATACGCTATTTCTATAAACACATTCGAAGTTCTTCGCACACACACACACAAAGACACAAACGGAAAGCTTCAGTTCAATCTACAGAATAAGAAAAGGGAGAGGGAAATGCAGGAGACAGGAAAAAACACAAAACAGCAGAGAGGAGAATAACAGAGTGTAATGAAGAAAGACAGAGCTAAAGAAAGAGAGGAGAAAGCTTACATTGTTCCGCCATAACAAAAATTTCCATTTCCATTTTTAAACTACTAGGTTTCATGATGAATGGACCAATAGAAATGCTCCAGAATTACTTGGAATAAACATTCCATAACATAATTATGTCCCTGTAAACCATGTTGGATACACACATACATACAGTGCTGCTTGAAAGTTTGTGAACCCTTTAGGACTAAGTGAATATCTACATAAATGTGACCTAAAATGTGATCAGATCTTCATTTAAGTAAAAAAAGTTGTGACTCAACACTAAATTTCTTTGTTGGCAAAAGTATGTGACCCTCTGTTGTCAGCGGTGTGACCCCCTTGGGTAGCAATGACTTCACCTAAACGCTTTCTCTAACTGTTGATCAGCTCGGCACACTGACTTGAAGGTATCTTGGCCCATTCCTCCTTGGAGAACTGCTTCAACTCTGTTAGCCTATGTGCTTTCTTGCATGAATGCCATGGTCTTAGATTTTGCCACAACATTTCTATTGGATTAAGGTCTGGACTTGCAGACTAACTGGTATATCTAGGGTCACTGATTTTCTGCAGGATCCACCTTCTGTTGAGGTTTCAGCATTTTATTAGGAACACCTGCTTTTATCTACACACAATATGCATTTCTCAGCTCCACTTACCATATTTTCTACCGGTTCTACAATTACAGACTGTAGTCCATCTGTTTCTTTACTTGGTAAGCTCCCTTTTTCTCTGTTCTTCAATGGTCAGAACCACCACAGTGCATATTTTATTTGGGTGGTGGATCATTTTCAGCATTGCAGTGACACTAAAGTGGTGGTGGTGTCTTAGTGTGTGTTGCACTGGTATGAGTGGATCAGACACAGCAGTGCTTCTGGAGTTTTTAAACACTCCACTCACTGTCCTCTCTATCAGACACATGTAACTTGTTGTTCCACCTTGTAGATGTAAAGACAGACATGATAGCTCATCTGTTCCTGCACAGTTTGTTAGTCATCCTCTAGACCTTCATCAGTAGTCACAGGATAAAGATGGCTGGATATTTCTGGATGGAGGACTATTCGTATTGTTACCTTATCTATTCACATGTTGATGTTGATGGTGAAGACTCAGGTTCATGTTTTTTTTTTTTATTCTTTTAAGTATGTGACCCTCTGCTGTCAGCGGTGTGGTTAAATGGTTAAATTCTGCAAATAAGCAGTAATCGTACGGAGGCCGCTGGTGATATCCTGTATAAATAAAAATAATGCGTGGCCACGACTTAGTATACCGTGATCTTGTCCCCATGCCTTACTAAGTCATAGTAACGACTTAATCTTCTCATTCACACGTCTTACTAAGTCGTGGCCACGCATTAGGATCTTGTTCCCATGCATTATTTTTATTTATACAGGATGTCATCATCAGGGCTCCGTAGTAATTGTGTATTCAAATGCATTAGTGTGTTCTCTGTAGAGAATGTGCAAATTTATTTTCACTTAGAAAATAAACAAAACATGTAACTTGACGAGAGGACCTCAAATTGTTGCCTACAACTATCTAAGTTAGCCCACGGTAACTCGTCCAAAATGTTACCTGCCCACCGGGAATTGTCCTGACCCTTCCGAATAACCACTCCGCCATTGTTAAATGCTTAAAGTGGGTTCTGTGCTTTGTTTACTCAGAGCATGAAGCTATCATAGTGACAACTTTCAGAAATACACAAGCACAATCAAAATGCACTTATAACAGATATCTGTCCGCCCTCGTCATGATACTTCATCTAAAGCCTTAACCTACACTTACCTACACAGGAAGAGTGAGAGAGTGAGAGAGAGAGAAAGAGAGAGAGGCGCGAGGGGACGACCACCCTAAGTGCTTGGTGCAATGTCACCTTACAGCAGCTGCCATTGTCATCAAGCTAATGCAAGCGCAACGACCCGGCGACCCCCACAGTTAATGAGGATAGAGAGGCCCGAACGAGGACACTTACTGCAGCTCAGGGACTACAGAGAGACATGGCAAAGACACCAAGCAAGGCAGAAACACACACATACACACGTATCTGCACTGATGGGAATATCCCAAACTCACCTGGAAGTCCTTCTCCTCCAGAATCTCCTTCCTCCAGCGCACCAGGAAGGCAGCACACACGTAGAGGTGGAAGTGGGAGAAGCCTTCAGGCTCGGCCTGTCAACAGAGTGGGACAATCAGCAGGGAAATGTTCGCTCTTTAAGTGTGGATTAATGATGAATTTTTGACCCCTTAGAGAAAAACTGGGTCAGGGTTAGACAAACTGCTGTGGCTTCAGGCCGTCCCTCGTACACTCAGACAAAGGAAATTATCTCCTACTAAGAGAACCTAAGAAGAGTTTTCAACAGTTTCAAAAATCATATATCCAATCAGACACATCATATACTGATTATTGAGAACAATATTCACAAGGAGCAACATGTTTTGCAACATTTTTTTTATAACTCGATCGGTTATAAATGCCTAGGAGGTATGTCTGGATGATTTATTTAAAGACCAGACAACTTGTAACTGCTGTATTCTTAATTTTCTGATCATTATAACTAATATGTCCTGTTCAATAAATAACCACATACAGTGCCAAAAAGATTCAACCCTCTTAAAAGCCATCCGATTCGTCTGCATTACTAATGACACACAGACTGTTCCAGCAAGACTTTTTAGTGCAAACCAGTATGCTCTTTTATAGGACCATCTTTTGCTGAAATAACAGCTTTAAGTCTGCTGGGGTAAGTTTCTACCAACTTTGCACCCTGGGATTGATTTTCACCCACTCTTCCGGACAGATTTGCTCCAGGTTGGCTGGATGATACTTGTGGAATGCAATTTTCGAATAGTACCAAAAACTCTCGACTGGATTGAAATCTGGACATTGTAGAACATTCACTTTTTTTGTTCTGCCACTCCTGTGTTGCTTTGTTTTTGTGCCTAGGGTCACTGTCCTGCCGAAAGCTTTAGTTTTATAGCAGACCGAAGGAGGCTGTCTTGTAGTGTCTCCCTGCATTTCGTACCACCCATCCGTCAACATCCATCTGTCCTTTCCAGTTTCTAGCAATTTACCAAACAGTGCTTACTCAGATATCCAAACATTTGGATATCAGTTTGTAGCCTTTTCCTTCTTTCCTTCTTTGGTCCTCATTTTCACAGCTTTCCTTCAGATTCACAGTCTGATCAATGGTACATATATTAATTCTTTTATCTGTAAAAGTTACTTATTCAATGTTTCACAGCTAGGGTCTGATTGTAAGCCAACTGTGTTCTTGTTAGGGCAATATCTTTAATCTGTGTAAACTTGGAGCTTCCACAATACAAGGATTTTGCGAACAGTATTTTTCAGTTAGTAACTTTTGCCGCAGAATATCTTCTTTCATAGAACAATTACTGCTTTAAATTAATTAATCCTGAGCCCCTCAAGTCTTTTTAAATAAAATGAAAAAAAAAATAAAAAAGTGTCTTTTGTAATCTAGATGGATGAATCTGATCATAGCATAGTATTTATAGCACACATGATTTTGGTCTTCATAAAAGATTATTTGCAAGGTTTCAGAAGGCAAACAGACAAACCACTAAATTTTGTCAAGCATCATTTCATAAATCACAAATTAGTATGACCACACTACTGATTTTTGCACTACATAAAATGAAACTGCACATCTCAATGAACTTCCAGTTTCAAAATGTTGCCAAAATTACAAAGAAGGTCACATGACCTAATAATTACAATCAATGCCCACAAGCACAATCAACGCTCAATATGTGACTACTTGTAATACTGCAATGTGGCAGCATTTCAACTTTCAAATAAATGTGGCATAAATGAATCCAAATAAATGTGCAGAAATGCTAATTAAAAATATAAATATTTGTCCATGGACTGAGTAGGGATGCATCGATACAGGAATTGGATGCTGATGCTAACAACTCACATTTCTTTATGTACTTATATGCTGATGCCTATCTATACAATACATAAACATTTATGAAATGTAGAAATTGTGTCTAAATCCACTTGTATTGGCATTACAGAAAGGAATCAGAAACATTCATTTCTGTAGTGTTACAGATGCAGTAAAATGAATAAAATGCAGTCACTTAGAGTTGCCTAAAAAAGAGCGCTATATTTACATCGTCGTATATTGGTTTGAAATACTGTTCAAATCTAAATATCTGTCCAATGGACATAATTTTTCAAAGGAAATCATCTCCTGATAGTGATATGATTCTGATATCATCACACATCTCTAGTATCAAGCATTCTACGATTGGTAGTGATATCAAAATTGAAAACTCTTTATCATGACAACCCTACATAAACATGCACCAAGCTTCATAACACATACTTCTTACAAAAATGGTGGAAAGGCAAAGTACAGATTGTTCATATCCTGAGCAGAAAACTTGCACCAGGCAGACCCCAAATCATGGAACAACGACCATACTGAATAAATCATCAACTAAAAGTGAAAAAAGCTGTTCTAGAGTTTGAAAAACCTCCTCTTGCTCCATTTTATCATGCACTGTGTGTCTGCTGAATTGAAATGGGATGGGATGCTTCCCAGATATCCTGTACAATGATAACCCTACTGATCTGCAGCAGTGAAAATGATAAAACCCCTCATCTGCATGTGTACATATTATCCCAGCACAAAGCTGCAGTCAAAAAGGCCCAAGTACGGCACACTCTCACGCACACAGGGACAGTACTGGGAGGGCATGAATGATTCAATCCAGCTCGGCAAGCAGTGCAGTGCACAAAAGTTGCTCTACTGTGCAAATGTAGGCAAACATGGGCCAGCATGAGTAAACAGAGAGACGGATGGAGTGCCAGCGGTATTGTTCAAAGAGCACAGGCCCCATGAGGAGCCTGAGAAGTGCAGCTTTCTACAACTGGCCATGTGAAGGCTTCACACAGGAGAGCCTATGATCATCTTTCATGCCAGCCACGGAGAGGACTTAATGAAAATCAATGGCTTCGTTGCTTTACGCCAATAAACAGCCAAGACGGGTCTACCCTTCAAGGGTAAATGAGAGCAATGGAAACATTCCCAACTATACCAGGGGCTTAGAAAACACAGCACACACACACCACACTTCCACACATACAGTGGCGAGAGCAAGCTTCAGAGCCACACGTTACGTCCAGCGCAATTACCCTGAAGTCATCTTCCGTCACCTCCTTGTCAAAGTGACCACACAAGCGTGAAATCCACTTAATTAGACACTCAACAGACAGGCCTGGGCTGCAAGGGCACCTGCATATGTCCAACCGCATGGAAAGAAACCAGAACATTTTTTTGCACTCAGCTTTGGCCTTTTCAAATTTATCAAACAAGAAAGCTCTTCTTGCAGTTGCTCCATTTTAAGAGGTGCTGGGAGTCTGCTGAACAGGACCCAAGTCAATTTGTTTATTTGTGTTCTTATTCATTGAAAGAAGATTCCATTTCCTAAAATAACTGGCCTAAGACAAGAGGTTGCACGCAGACTGTAAAGATGTGATTTGAAACACTGAGCTCTTTTGAAACCGAGTTTCTTTATGGAACACTTTCTTTGTGGCCTCATACATACATGTCTGAAACTAGTTTTTCCCCTGTTTTCAAAAAAACAAAAAACAAAAAACAAAACAAAAAGTTCACCTATATCAACAGTGCTTTTGCTGTTCTCTATCCACATGTAAAACGACTCAAACACCAAGGGGTGATGGATGATACCTCATAAAACTGAACGTCAAACACCTTGAGAAGAACATTGTGAGCATGCGCATTGCAAAAAATAGAGACTACAAACCTAAAGCAAAGAAAGTCTAACAAAATGATGGAGATATGTTGCAACTACAGTAGGCCGATTCAACTTAATGCAGGAAGATCTCTAAGATTCAATATCTCACACAGATTCAAAATCTAGATTCTGCCAGAAAATAAAAGCTTAAAAAAAAATCAAACATAAGCTCCACCTGCTGCTGTGGGGTTGTTTACACTGTCATGGCTACACCACTGTCTCTAAAACACTGACTTGGTTCTGATCAGGCAGAGAAATAGAGTATTTTGAAGCTTTTCTAATTCAATTTGAATTACGCTTTAGGACTTTCCCCCCAAACCTGACATGACCTCAATGGTGAAATGAAAAGGTAAAGCTAAATTCAATTGTAAATATGCTGGCAAGCACACATAGACCAAGTTGCCAGCCATATTTCAGACAAAGTTCTACATGCTCAACAGATCCAACAGCCAGGAACATGTTGATGCTATAATTAAGTTTTTAAAAATCTCCAACTTTTGTTTTTAGACAGCTCTTTTTTAAGTAACCTAAAGTGGTGTTTTCATGTAGATGGAGAACAGAATGCAGGAAAAAAAAATCGAAAAACATGTGGGCGAAGTCTTACAAATGGGTGAAAAAAACAAAAACATTCTCAAAACGTTCCCATCACAGCGGAAGCACACCTCGAGTAGTTGTACGCTAGTAACCACTGTTACATTCAGTACTTGATGTTATTAAGGGTAAGACAGGGAGGTTTGAAGAGGGGGGCTTGTTCAACTGCTTGTCCAATTGTAACCTTATCCAGCAAATGGGAAACAAACAAGCAAGAAGAACAGAGGAGGAACAAGGAGGACGCATTAGAATGAAAACAAGAAGATGAAGCAGAAGGTGAAGACATAGATGACTACCACAACTGGAAAGGCAAAAAGCAAACTAGAAGAAAGCTAGCAGGCAGAAACAAAAGATGCTTGAAGCTCCTTATAAAGGAAGGTCTGTGGTCTATTTCTGTGAGAGAATGAAGACCAGGGCCCTCACTGTCTCTCCTCATTGATCATTTTAATTATTTTTCTGTTTCTCCCTTGGGGGAACAGGGCTGATTATGGGGACTTAATTAATGGGGACGGTGGAGGGTAGTCGCTGACACACTTCAGGTGGGACACAAGTATCCAGGACAAAGTGAATGCATACACACACATACACACTAAGACTCACACACAATCAATCCAGTCACATGCAGAGCTATTGACTTTTATTTGTGTCATATCACACACAGCATGACTACTCAATATAGAAAACAGCAAGAGACAAGTCTCTTTGTATGATAACATACTGTTCATGCATACAAACATGCATGCACCAAACAAAGCTCTGTTCACCTTTACATATCTTTCCACTTAACACAC